TCTTGCGAACTCGCCTTTTCCTCGCACAAGGATTGCACCAACACTTCTCCTCTTTTGTTTTCGCCTTGTGTATCCTTCGAGCTCGTTTGGTCTTGCTCCTCCTAGGCTTGAGCTTAGCTCGTGGACCATATCCCTTTGGCCAGTCCCTCTTGCATGATGGTCGATCAATTGGACTTGATAGCTCTTCCAACATGTTCTCCAACCATAAAACGAGACCATCGTCACCTTCATCGTCTGACTCACCGGGGTTGATGACCACTTCCGTATCACTAACTGCCGGCGCACTGCTGCCGCTGTGTTCGGGCAGCGCGGCCACGACCGGCCCTTGCCGGCCGTCCGGCGACTTCTCTCGAGCAATATAACTTGAAATAACATGAAATAACTTGACTTGATCAAACTTGCTGAAAACACTTAAAAACATGAATTTCGCACAACAAGCTAAACATGGCCGTGGCGTGCGCACTATGCGCCGCCTACGGCGTTAAGCCGTCTCACGACTAAACATGCTTTTCTCTCAGCAATTAATACACAAATGGACATGAAGTACTGATTATTGAATAATTTGACATGAAGTGTTCAAAGGTCTACCACTTAACATGATTGCTAATCACTCACGGCCCGTGGTGCGCGCTACGTGCGCGACCACGTCCTTTGGCCGAATCACCGAACAAACATAAAAATACTTCGAACAATATAAGCTGACTGAACATGATAAATCATGAAATGACTAAATACATGACAATAGCTCGAGAGGTTTCGAATCAAAACATGACATGCTCGACATGGCCACACGCACGACCGAAAATAAATAAACTATATCATGAGCATGACTTACTCAAAACTTGATTTAACATGACTTTAGCAACAACAAGATTAGATGAACGAGGTTACCTCTCGAACGGCTCGGCTATGACTAATCGGAGCTCAAGCCTCCGTGCGTGTCGTACAGTACTCTCGGGCGTGAGTGCTTGCGTACGGTGCGGCTGCTTGCGGTGCTTGCTACACAAGATCTCACTAACTCTCACTATACCCTCAATATGCTAGTATGACTTAGGGAAAAATTATGAATTTTTCCAAGTCTCCCCCTCATTTATATGATGACCGAAATTATGAGGTGGTGAGAATTATGTGATGGCTTATTATCATGCCACTTGTAGCAAGCTCCATACTTAAGAAGGGATAAAAATGCTTACTCATCTATTTAGGAGGTTAGTCATCCCCTAAGCTTTATCATCTTGCCACCTCATGCTAGAAAAAGGAGAAAATTTTCCCTCTTAAATGATTAAAATGCTCACGACAATATCACTTAAAAATTGAGCAAAATCCCTAAAATGCTTCGGCTTTAGTAATACTTAAGCGTGATTCATTATTAATTAATCACCACATTATGCTTAATTAATTACTAAGCATATTACTTAATTACCAAAATTATTCCGAACGTAAACGGGACGTCGAAAATAATTTCGGGTAATTTCGACTGAAATAATTAATTCCAAAAAATAATACTCGACAATATTATTATATCGGAACTAAATACATGATTTATTTAATTAACATGATGGGATATTACAATCCTCCCTCCCTAAAAATTTCCGTCCTCGGAAATTCAAAACGATACTGAATATACATGAACTATGTACATGAAACATGAAAATATATACATCAGAACTGGAAATCGGGAAAACGAGCGCGAATGTCAGCCTCCGACTCCCAAGTAGCTCCGTGGAGATCCCACTGAATACGAACGAGGGGGACATCTCGTTTCCGAAGCTGACGAACCTGACAGTCCAGAACAGCTACCGGTCGCTCCTCGTACGATAAGTCTGGCTGAATCTGAATATCTGAATGGGGAATGACATGATCGGGATCACACACGTACTTACGCAACATAGATGCGTGAAACACGTTATGAATGCCGGATAGCTCGGGAGGTAAGGCTAATCGATACGCAACTTCGCCCACTCGCTCGAGAACTTCGAACGGGCCAATGAATCGAGGGTGCAACTTTCTTCTCTTCCCGAATCGAACAAATCCACGAATCGGACAAACTCTGAGAAAAGCTGGCTCGCCAACCTCGAACTGAATATCTCGTCGATGATGATCAGCTGAAGATTTCTGTCGACTCTGAGTTGTCTTGAGTCTCTGCCGTATCAACTCAACCTGATCTGCAGTCTCATCGATCATCTTTGGACCGAGTACTCGACGCTCGCCGACGTCGTCCCAATAAAGAGGGGAACGACACTTACGACCGTGAAGTGCCTCGTAAGGAGCCATCTGAATAGAGGAATGATAACTGTTGTTGTACGCGAACTCAACGTACGGCAACAACGACTCCCACTTAGCACCCCTGTCGACAACCAAAGCGCGCAACATATCCTCTAGCGTCTGAATAGTCCGCTCTGACTGACCATCAGTCTCCGGATGGTAGGCTGAACTGAACTCTAGCTCCGTACCCATCGCCTCGTGTAAACTCTGCCAGAATCTACTGACGAATCTGGGATCTCTGGCTGACACGATAGTAACGGGCACTCCGTGGAGTCGAATGATCGTATAAATCTCAGCCAACTTATCCAAAGACATCTTCATCGAAACGGGTAAGAAATGAGCGACCTTAGTCAATCTGTCAACCACGATCCAGATAGCATCGTGATGTTCAGATGACCTCGGTAATCCCGTGACGAAATCCATCGTGACTTTCTCCCACTTCCACTTTGGAATAGGTAGTGGTTGCAGGAGGCCTATCGGACTCTTATGTTCGGTTTTGACTTGCTGACAGGTAAAACATCTTCTGACAAACTCGGCAACGTCCTTCTTCATCCCTCGGCACCATAACGACCCTTTCAGGTCATGATACATCTTCGTGCTTCCGGGATGAGCTAGGTATGGTGCAGTATGAGCTTCCGTCAATATCTCCTTCCGCAATGCCTCAACTTTCGGCACCACGATCCTGCCTCTGAACTCCAAGGCACCATCGACACCTCGCTGAAAACCCTCGACGCTTCCGGCGCGGACTTTGGCATCCATGACACGAACAAACTCGTCAAAAGCCTGCTCCCGCCGGATTCTTTCTCTCGGCGTCGGCTGAATCTGCATGGCCCTGAAACTCCCCGAAATGGCTGTGGGAAGTGCATCGACCACCTGAATCTGCATCCGGGTAAACTCCTGAATCAACTGGCTCTGCTGAGTAACGACGTACGTCAAGTCACCCCTCACTTTTCGGCTTAGGGCGTCAGCAACGACGTTCGCCTTCCCTGGATGGTACTGAATCGAGCAATCGTAATCCTTAACGAGCTCGAGCAAACGACCCTGTCTCATGTTGAGCTCCTTCTGAGTGAAAATGTACTGCAAGCTCTTATGATCGGTGAAAATCTCGCATCAACTGCCGTAAAGATAATGTCCAAATCTTGAGAGCATGCACAACTGCGGCTAACTCCAAGTCGTGCATCGGATAGTTCTGTTCGTGCGGCTTGAGCTGACGTGAAGCATAAGCAACGACCTGGCCATCCTGCATGAGTACACATCCCAGACCCTGTTTCGAAGCATCACTGAAAATGGTGAAACTCCGAGAAGGATCGGGAATAGTCAACACCGGTGCTGAAGTTAATCTCTTCTTGAGCTCCTGGAAGCTCGACTCACATCGGTCAGTCCACTCGAACCTCACAGATTTCCTCGTCAGCTGGGATAGTGGGAGGGCAATCTTGGAAAAGCCCTCGATGAACCTGCGGTAATAGCAGCTAAACCGAGAAAACTGTGAACCTCGAACGGACTCTT